CTCATGTTCAGTTGGAATATGGCTGCCTTGACCTTGAACCCCTTTTTCCAAGTCCTGCTCTTCATATCGTGCACTCCTACTTAGCAACCACCGGTGCAAATCATGTGTGGCATCCTTGCTAAGAACCAAGGGTTGGTTTGACTTCCACTGGATAGCAATGACACAAATCGTCCAAGCCCCACAACGAGTCATTTGGCAAGAGGAGCCATTGCTGCTCTTGCCATGCCACCAGCCAGGCGGCATGGCTGAGAGCTGGCCCCAAGTGCCCGCACGGCAAATGTGGCAGCTGTCAGAGGCGTGTCTTCTGTCTTTACTTTGCCTGTCCTCAAGGCAAAGCCAAGAGATAATTCCAGCCCGTGGTTTAAGAGGTCCCATCCTATTCTGCTTACTGCCCCCATGCAAAGATCAGGCACTTTCACCGTTTGCTCAAATACAGCTCTCAAGCAGGGGGCAGGCATCTGCTTGCCACCACTGCTCTGTGCTCAGGGTTGCAGCACAGAGCAGATCCGTTGCCCTGCCTCCTGCTTTGGAGAAGACCTCTGAAGCAGGAAGTGGAGACACCTTCTGCACTGCTGGAGATTTTCAAGCAAGTCTTATCTGAGGAGCTTTTTTGTCACAATCAGCAAAGTCAAAAGTATTCAGAATCACAATGCTTCCGTTAAAAGAGAACTTTCAAAGACTGATTATTGAGCATAGATGTTCAGAGCACAAATAAAAGTAGACTTTATTATATATTTAAGCAGATGGTGAGTTTTGGCACAGGAAACTAGAATTTTAAATCACTTGTTAAAATAGTCTTTTCCTGTATCCATTCCTGCATGTTCCTGGATTTTTGTCTCAGCCGAGACTGGAAGTTGACCCACCTGCACTTCAGGTGTGAGCTCTGTTTGTGCAACAGAGCCTTTCTGGCAGCCACAACAAGCCAAAACCAGCTCATAGCTGCGGATGTCAGAGAGTGGGAAGCCTCAGCCCTCCTTACAGTTTCTCCTGGGATATAACCAGGAGGGAGACATGGGAAGGAGGAGGGGGAGCATAGCTTCCCACTGAAGCCCCTGAAGCTTGATCATCTCTCAGGTTCCTTGCAGCTGATTAGCACTTAATGGCAACCCATTGTGCTGATTTACCTGATGAGCTGCTAGGGTGCACACTCAGTTTCCCTCTCAGTACTTTCTGCCTACCAGAAATCCAAACCCAGTGGCTTACATTTATCTCACTCTCTTAACCACTCCATAAGCCGACACACACGAACGTGTCAGCCAGGTCAGTCTATCCACAATGTGCAGGGGAAGTGGTTTAAACATTGTGGCTTCTGATGCCAAAATGCACCATCTGCCCCTCCAACTTTGTGTGTATATATCTAATTCTATTTGTGAAATGGGACCTATATTAATCAGTCTTTAAAAGGCCTCATTAACTTAAGAGAAACATTAAGATTTTATGTACTTTAGACTTACTGAACAAATTCAGACTTAGTTTGATTTATGAACAAATTTCTGGTCATCAGAGAAGATTCACGCCCAACTTTCCTCATCCATTACAGTTGATTTTTTTCTCTTGATGTTCCTTGTCATTGTTTTATCCATCACTACATTTTTTCTGCTCAGAACTATTTCTTTTATATCAAAAACTTCCGATCCTGAAAATCCCTTGGGATTTTACATAATTAGCAAAACTGACAGCAAGCATTAGAGTCAGAATAAGACTTCAAACTGGAAGAAAGTAATACAAGCTAAGACTATCTCAAATATTTAAAAGACACCAAAGGCCTATGGGATGGAAAGCATAAATTTGGAAACTTCTTGGACAAGAAAGTTATGAGCACAGCTCTTTCAGGATGTAAGTTTACAAAACAGGAGCTGATGAACTGGATCAAACCTGTTATCTTAGTGAACATGAAATGTACCTACATGTTGACTATTTAAATATTTTTGCATGGGAAATTTTTGCAAAGACAGTCCAGAACTTTGACCTTAGTATGATTCAATATGGCAATATGGAATTCACAAGGTCTTTTTGATGAAACGCTTGGGTATAGTTTAAAAGATATATATTCAAACATATTCAATGTTCATGATTTTCACGAGTGTCTCTCCAAAAACATTTGTAAGGCATATGCACACATGAACAGCTCAGTAGCAAGCCAACAGAATGCGCTTCTGCCTAAATATTCTGCAGAATACTTTAAAATGCAAGAATGGAGTGATTAAGTACAGAGCTCTATGAAAACTCTGCAACTTCTTGGATGGTCAGAATCCTTTTCAGGAACAGCAACAGTGTCTGCAGCAGTAGCCTTACTTTACTGCACGAGTAATGTTAGCTACTCTGCTATGGCTGAGGTGCATGTGGGTTGCAAGGTCATGCCAGATGTCCTGGCCTCCTTGCCAGCTGCTCATGCAGACTTGTGTACAATTGATCTGTAGAGAGGGGACCTGGGACAATACACTCTTCTCAGATAGATGGCATCTGATACTGACAAGGAGGCAGAAGGGCAAAAGTGGCTAGTGAAGATTCTCAGGCACAGTGTGAGAACCAGCTAGTTTTGGAAAAGGAGGGAGACATTCCAGAGCTGGGGAAGGTGATAGAGTCCCTTGATTCTGTTGAGATAAACAACAGTAGCAGGCAGATCAATTACAGAGTGTTTAGCATTCCTGCTGTCTAGCCCTCATGCAGCAAGAGCCACCCTGAGGGTAGAGTCAGAAGCTTTTTGAATGGTAGAGAAAGAGGGGCAATTTCAGTCTGGATACAACTCTTTCCATGGGCAGATGCTTCTGTCACATCTCGTGGAGAATACTACTTGGATTCATGCTCTTCTTTAGTCTCTCAATAAAAGAATTTCTAAAATTTCACCTGAAGCTACCAGAGAAAAGGGAGGGACTTGCTTACGCAATCCATGCCAGGGGGTGGGGGGATATTATTAGTCCAAGGAGCCATCTAGTCCAGGGCTGTGGACCAGCAGAATCCTAGATGGATCTCCAACTTGTGGTCCCTCAGATGTACTTGGAACTCCCACTGTCCTTGATCACTGGGCATGCTAACTGAAGTTTATGGGGACCACATGCTCCCTATTCTCTAAGCTAGTCAGCATCCTGTTTCCAACTGTGACCAGACAGATGGTTCCAGCAGGTCCAGAAGCAGGCTATGAGGAAACAGCCCTTTCCTATTATTTCATATCCAGCGCTTGATACCCAAAGGTATCTGATGGTCATATTTAGCTGTCATGGCTAGCAGAAAATCAACAACTTTTTCACAACAGATTTTTCTAAGTTAGTGACCATTAGCAAGCATATCTTTTGTAATAAATTGTGTTGGGTGAAAAAGTAATTCCTTTTGTCTGCCCTGAACCCAAAAGCTAATCAATTTCATTGAGAGATTCCAAGCTTTAGAGATGAAAAAAAAAATCTCATTATCTACTTTCTTCACACCATGCATAACCTTATAAACTTCTATCATGCTCATCTCCCACTCTAACTATAAGATCCCTATACTTTAGCCTTTTCTCACAGAAAGTTCATCCCCTAAAGCACATTGCTTATTCTTTTTTGTATTATTTCTAACATTAGTAACATAACATGGGCTGGCCAGAATTAGAGAAATAATATTCTGCTTTTATTTTTCCTAATCCCTATTTTAGTTTCTCTCTCTCTCTAACTGCTACCACACAGAGAGTCAACATTTTCACTGAGCTTTCCACCTGAACTCCAAGATCTTTCTTGGTTATTCACTGCCAGTTCAGAGACTGTATGTATATTGGTTGTTTTTGCTTCAAACATACAAAAAGGTACTTTTGTGGTATTGTTACTTCAGTTAATAAACAACTTTGGAAGCAACTTTGGAAGCCCGTATGTCATTGCTTTCTGTCTGTTGCCCTCCTGTGTTTTCTCATCATTTCTTCCATCTGTTTCCTTGGATGGAGAACATCCACTAAAAGAAAAAGGCAGATTGTCTTCTTGATTGCTAGTACTTTGTCCAGAAGCACTTGTATTTGCACTTACCTCGAATTACTTGTTGTTTGCTGATTTACCATGGAAAGTTCTTGGAGCATTTCCAGCTGTGAAACAGATTGTTGGGAGACACCTGCTTGAATGTCTCCTGGGAGAAAACTGCCAAGTTTCTCTTCCTTAAGCAATTATTGATGCATAAGAGAACCATTCTCATGCCCCATAACAGTTAAACTTATCCCAGAGATGTTGGTGGGGATACTTGTCAAAAACATTTTGAAAGACTGCATATATAAGGTTGGATACAGAATTTGCCTCCCATGGGTGGATGGGCTCCTTCTGACTGTGAAAGGAATCCCCGTGGCAGATTGTTGCAGAGGGAGGGGTAATGTGTACCAATTCTCCCTCCTCCCACCAGAGGACTCCAAAAAAGTGGGCAAAGGAGATATCAGCATGAAATGCACCCTCTTCCACTAGCAGGAGCATTCGGAACAGAATTATGCTCAGAAGATGCTATTGCCAACCAAAGTGAATACTGGATCCAAGCCATAATGGCTACCCATTTATTCCCATCTGCACATTTGTTGATCTACTTGAAGAGTTCTACAGAGTTGACCTTTGCCAGGACCCTGCTGTGTTTTCTTAAGACTTGTTTCTTCAGGCACCTTTGCTGATTTTGTGTGAAAGACATGTCTGACTGTGCTGCACCCATGTGGCTGGGCCATTTAAACCTTCTTCCATGCATGTAGGGGTTCCTCATGGATAAGTGGATCCCACAATACTGCTTGACATCCATGTATGACTGATTAAAATATTCACTTTACCCATAAGCACACACTGAAAATGTGAGCAAGTTAACTAGTTAACATTATTTTTAAAATGTAGCTCATTTCTTTTGTTCAAAAATAGAAATGCCAAGTCAGTCTTCTAAATTCTAAGACGAGTGGCCACTCCAATGATGTTCATTACCTAATGTCAGCATAAGGTATACTGTACCTAAATGAAGAAGACACTAAGTAAAATTAGCCACTTAAAACCAGATTAAAGTTCAGACACACCCAATACAAATATTGTACATTTATTGAAAGAATACAGTAAAAAAAAACCCCTGCAGACCTGTTAATGGTAATTGGTCCAGTCAAAGAGAAAGAGGCCAAACTTCCTAAGAACACAGAAGATACGTTTTTGTAACAGGCTAAGAAAGTGAAATAAGGTTAACTTTAGTTCAAATGTGAATATAAAAATTGGCAAATAAATAAAAGATAAAATGTAGATCTGTTAAAATTACAAAGGACAGACAACTAATAAGTATACATAAACTATCATTTTAACTCTTCTTAAAAGCCAGGAAAGCCACTTCAAGCTTCCTTTCCTCCCTTTTTTAAAGCACCTGTACTTTTGGGGAAGATGCAATCCTTTCCAGTGTTATGTATTATCATTGTGTTTCACAAATATATTATTTTTAAACAACAAAGAGAATACAAGGTGCTTTATCTGATATTAAACTTGCTGGTGCATATATTGGCACTAACTAAAAAGAAAAAAGTAAAGAAAAATAAACCCCAAATCTATACCAACATACATGTATGTGAAAAGCTGTAAACTATTCCGCTACATGAAATGTCTAAACTTTTTCTAATCAGGTTTGCCAATAAACCCCAGTGACCCTACCTAATCCTGTGGGAAAAAGGAAAAAGTAAACACAAATATAAGAAAGCAGGCAATATAATTGGGAAAATAGCACTGCTACAGCTGTCAAAACAACCATCCTTTCTGGAAAAAAAATCCTTCTTGTCCATTCACATAACCGTGATGCTGAAGGAATTCAAAGAGACCAACACTTCAGCAGCTTGTTCTGGCTTTTAAACAAGCACAGGCATGAGACACCAGTCCTACTGGTGGGTGTTATGGTGAGACGCCTGCTCCAGGTAGCATTGGATGATTTCTCCTGTAAAAATGATCCTGGGGTTCAGTTCTTCTAAGACCAAGTAGTCACCAGACCCCGCATGAGAGCAGCACCAAGATACCCACCCAGACAGGGAGGATTTTGCCCTTCTTGACTCAAAACACCCATAACCTTAAAGGTTGAGTCAGGTTTACAATACACAGCAATATCATCTAGACAAGTAAGGGAATACCGCAAGGAGCCTGTATTTCCTTTCCACCTTGTAACTTTCTGAATACTTTTTTAAAAGAATAATTTCCTGTGTTATTCCTTGATACATTTGAGAACAACTAATCTGATATGATTGTTCTCCCTGCTCTTACATTTCTTTCTTTGAAGAAGAATCTTTCCATTGTAAACTAATAATAACAGCACTGACCTCCTTTTCTTGGCTTAGAAAGAGGTTTTTCATACACACAGATCTCCTTGGTTTCGATTGTGAATGGCATTGCTAGAGGGGTTTTCTGCCTTCCCTTGATGTATGTGATACCCTAGTTCTGTAAAATCAGGCAGTCTGTGTTTTACAATCAGAGCTAAAATTACACTCAACATATAAACCTGCTGGTGATTTCAAGAGGGAACTGCAGGGACTCACTTTTCCAGGGGACTTACCATGCAATTTAGCTGTATGGTACAGTGTATGCACCCTTTGTCAATCATCCAGGTGCAACATAATAAAATAAAGTGCAATTTCACTTTCTTGGGCTTCCTGATTTTGAACCTTAGATATAATAGATATGTACTACTCAAGTTAAAAGTATCTGGAGCTTCAAAGGAGGGACACTGAAAAAGCTTCACATCAGCACTGTGAACCCAGTTTTTTGGCTCTAGTTAATTTTCTCAATGGGTTTTGTCATATCTAGCATTTTCTAAACATTCAAAAACCTCATCAAAATCCTTAGATATTTAAATCCCTTAATGTAATGCCCCAAGATCCATTTAAAGGAGCAATGAACTTAGTTGTACAATTCTTGTGCTTATAAGCTCAATTACTGCAACTGCTGAATGCCAGGAAATGCAGCTAGATATTATTGCCAAATTATGCAATTCCTTATTAATATAGTTTTAAACCCAGATTATAAACATAGTAAGCATTTTCCAATTCCATCCACATATATTTAGGTCTGGGGTCTTTACTATCTCTTTTCAGATTAAGCATTTCAAAATCTAGGCTAGGATCCAAAAAAATCATAAAATTGCTTTCTCCCACTCAGTGGAACCTGTGCTTATTGAATAGTAGATTTCCATGCCAAACAACATGACACTAGGTAAAGTTCCAAAAGCGAGCAGGATGTCAAAATGGAAGAGCAAGAAGGACTCACTGGGTCCTCTCAAGCCTTTGACAGTGCCCCTAAATAGCTCTTCACGCTCCAAAAATTTGGGGAGTCAATAGCCCCTTTCGGAAGCTTTCCTCTACATGCTCAAACATGTAGAGTTGGGCATGTTATTCTTCTGCAATGCCACCTGGCACTTACACATTGAGGCCAAAGGTCTGAACAGATTTAGAACCTTCCACATGACTATGAACCCCATACATAGGGCTCCCAACTGCCTGTAGGATTCCTGCGTGCTCAACTGAAGGCACAAAAGATCTTCCATCAGACCTACAGCCTCAGTGTACAAGGTAAGGGATGGAAATATTGCAGGCAGACAAGGAAACCCTCTGAACAGGGTTACTTTCAAATCAAAACATTGACCTTCTCAGTACCCAGCAGTTAGACATAATGTTTTCCCTGTACTTTCTCCTCTCGTAATGTCAGCTTACCAAAACAGAGTATTTGTAGATAAGGAATACCACAATTCCCAAGGAATATAGGAATTTTAAATGAAGGTGACAGGGGTTACAGAAAGGATTCCTAATTATTCTGGCACTATAGAAACACCACTGAAATAAATAGTTATTGAAAAAGATGTCACAGCACTAGCTTTCCATGAAATATACAACAAAAAGGATATGGATCAGCTGAACTAACCTGTATAGGTCCTTACCAGAGCAGGGCATGGGAAGATCAAATGTAAAACTTTATAATAAGGCCTATCAACTTAAACAACTAAAAATAATAAATGATCACAATGATTCTTCCTGGACATTTATGGAATGGGTCAGGAGTAGGAACTCCAGCTTATTTCCTAATTCATGACATAAAATTAAGAAAATGGATGCAAAATCCATTCCTAAAACATACAATAAATATCTCACGTAAGTGTTATAAGAAGCTAATGCTATTAATTACTGTCCTTATCCCCTTTCTGGTGCTTCCTGCTGCCTGTCAGTCTTAATAAATACAGCCAATAGAAGGAATGGCATATTTGTAATTTATCAAGAGTAGGGGATCTGTATACTGGGGTTACCACCAAACAGGAATTGGTAACCAATCAGGATCCATATCTTTCACCTGGTTTTAAATATATCAAATCATTCATTTCCACTGCATTCTTACTGTATGCTCCTCAGCTGTCAGACCACTTACTACCTTTGAACAGATCACAATCACCCCAGCTTCAAATACAAAAGTACTTACTTCCTTAATTTACAAATTACTGATTTCTGGATCAATGCATACATCATCAGATTCCAAGCAAGCTGGGAAAAGGACTTTAATGAAACCATAGGAAAAAAAAGATTGGGAATTAATTTGGCAATATCAACTAAAAATTAAGGAAAATAATTTATTGATGATAACTGACACTATCTTTTAATGTAGGATATATAGATGTCTTACCTGAAAATGCTATTGCAACTATTCATATATTAGAAAATGTTTTCATATGTAATGGGAGTGCAGGGTGGTTCCAGCAAACAGCATTTGATGGATGTGAAGCGACAGCAAGGACAAAGATATGTCAATATCCAAAACTGTGTTTGTTGTCACTGTTCGGAGCAGAAAATAAATCTCCATTGAAGGAGGGTTTTTATTTTTTTGTGATGGTAGCTGCTGGTGAAGGCAAGTCACAGCCAACTGAAAGTTAACCATGCCACTCTTGGTAAAGCGATGGCACAAATTCTGATGGAATACCAATGCCCTGGTACTGACAGAAACACTGACTAATCAGGTAACATCACAATTTTGTTTCTTTCATAATTAAATGGAATTGTTTTATTTTATAACCGACACCGTCTGATCCCTCTAGTTAGATATTCTTGAAGAAATACCTGGCTCCAATTGAGGACAATAATATAATACCAAAATTTATGGCTACCAGTAAGTTCTCTGAATTCCTCTGATTACCTGTTATGTTTGTTTGAACATAGTGTGATGAAAAATCATTAATGATTTTTTTTTAAAATTAACTATCACTAACATTCCAGAGTATAGGCTGCATACAGCTTATCACTGAATTGTGGGTTGTCATTGAATCCTGGGAAACAACTCTTGGTTTGTTATGAGCTCTGGGTTCTTCAAGGTTAACAGCCTTAGTTAAATCATAGTGCAGAGTTTTCATGTAACAACCCACAAATCATTGGCACACCATGCCCAAGGTTATGTGTAAAACAGGCCAAACTCTGGGTTGATGCTATGTGAACCAGGGCTAAGAAAGCTAGCCTCTAAATGTTGATACAACAAACAATAGGGCTCAAAGCTGTTCGTCATTTCTGAGAGTAAGGAGAAGTATTAAAATTTTAACCATCAGCATATAAAAATAGCATAGACTGATGCTTGTGATTTTTGTTTCTTTCCTCCTGTAATGTATTGCCAGCCTTATGCAGCCAAGGTCACCAGCCAACATGGCCAGTTGATAATCCCAATGATCAAAACAAGCAGTGCAGTAAAATAACTGAAGTGTTTTCTTACAGCTGTTTTCTAACCAAACCAACCAATAGCTTATTTTATAAACATTGCTGTTGGCCAACACTGTTTTAGCATCTGCTTTTCAAAAACAAAAAACAAAAAAAACACACATACATTGTGCTACCTTTCAGAATGAAACACTGCAAATATTATGGACTATTATGAAATGGAAAATTACTAAAAGATCTAATGTAAGGTAAGACGTGTGCCTGCATGTGTGTGCTTTCAATATTACAGTATTGCACATTTCAGAGAAATGTAGTTATCCTTGGATTCTGAAGATATTTTTGACCAAGATGCTTGACCCATTTGGAACTGATTTTTAAAGTTATATTTTTTGGATGAAAGAGATTATGTCAAGGGATAGTTCCAAATGCACTTTATATGACATATTTTAAAAAGTTTTCACTTTTAATTGTGAATTTCTAACTTGGACCAACTAATCTGCTAAATAAATGTTTCATCACTTCTAAAGTCCACTAACATTTATGCCACTATGGAGCAACACCAATGACAAGCTTGATTTAATGTCACATATTCCACCTACAAGGAGGTGGGGTTTGGTTCTAAACTTGCTTTTACAAGGACACTATATAATCCTGAAATAGAAACAAATCATCATGCAAAGCTCTGATATCACTTCATTAATAATGCATCCTGGAATGGAGTTTTCTCACCATTAATTCAATTTCCTGAGCAGGGGTAGACTGGGCCAACTTCCTTCTCCTGACCAACTCCTAACAATAATATTACATGTATATATACAACTGGTATGGATTTATCGTGCTAACATAATTTAAACAGACTTACTAAGTTACATTTTAACAGAGAGTTTCATAAGGTGATGTGAAAAATGTAATTGCCAATAACAGTAAACAGATAATCAGTGAATAAACCAACCCTGACAACATCCCAAACAGCTGCTGATCTTGAACTAACTTATGATTTTAGTACAGCCAAAACAAACTCTAAATGCTAGAGGAATTCCATAATTGGAAAAGGCCTTTCAATCTATGCAGCAGTCTGATGTGAATTGCAAATTTTAGCTGCTTACATAAATGAAATATAAATAGCAGCTATCCTTTACATCTGTACATAGAGATCAGGAGGACAGGTTGTCCCACTAATCCAATTAAGACAAAGAATTGTCCTTTTCCTTGTTGAAAGACAGAGTACATTCAGAAACTTGAAGCAATGAGAGTCTCTCCTATATAAAAGTATTCACCCTAAGAGAAAAACTAAGAACACCACGAATAAAAGAAAATACATTCTTGTCCTTATATTTATACATTAGTGGATGCATAGATGGAGATCTATACAGCTGAGTGATTGTGGTATTTTCCCCCCATGAAGTGCTCACATTCATTCTGTGTGCATTTTAGTTCATTTATGAATGCCAATGGATTAAGGCACACTGTTTGGATCCCTGTAGGATCACAGTAATCAACTAATGCTTCCTATTTGCATCAAACAAACATTGAAGATCAGTGCATGCCCACTACTAACTAAAGAAACTGCGAAGATAAAATAGAGAGCACTACGTTCCCTTATCACCCCTTTTGCCTTCCCACTAGGCTCTGAACTGATGGACCAGTCCTTGTATATAAGGCAACAAGCACCAGACATTCCCTGTGCTAGATTACTAACACATCCACCTACCATGAAGAACACTTCCCTCAATACAATGCTTCACTGTTTTATTCCAACAACAATTTTTATCATCATGTTACTGACATCGACCTTTCTAGACTACAAGTAGAATACACCCTGCTCAACATTACCACTCTGTACTACCACAAAAAACACACAAAAGAGTAAATGTGCTCCAGCCAGAAGGGTCAGTGGAACCATGTAATGCACCTGAAGACCTCATTAACCTCCTGGTCCTACTGTATAAAAGAGTGCCATGTTAACACTCATAATGCTCACTTATTTCCTCACCCTCATCCCGATGGGATAGAAATGTCCTGCTTGTTGCTATACTAGGACAATTTGCATGACTGAGCAGCACACAATATTTTAAGTCATGATGGGTTGTAGTACATATCAGTGTATGCATGCAGCCATTCTGAATGTTCAACACCCAGCTGCAGCTTGTGTTGTGTGAACCTGGGAGGCATGTGCTGAGCAAGGGGTAAACAACCCTTGCATAACAACAAAACATTAGGTTAGCAATGATTTTGATTATGCAAACCAGGCTGTAGCCATCATTTTGCTGTATGTTAGGCACCAGATGATATTCCTGCAACCAGACTGATGAACTACAGATTGAAGAATTCTGGATCCTGCCCTCCACTTATGATGCTGCTGGGAAAGTGTCCTATTACAAGAGAATCAAGAAATAATCGAGCATTACCTTTTGTGTAGGGAAGGCCTATGTTGAAGGCATTTTGTGTAGGAAAAGCATACGCATTTGCCATTCTGAATATGCAAGCTGCCCACTAAACAGACACAAGAGATTCTGAGCACAATGAGAGAAATGGTGTTCTACTTGATTTCTCAACCTTTTAGTTTGTTCACTGTGCCATGGACTGTTTATAAAAGATAACATTTCCTCGCTAGAGATTTTTTTTCATTAGGATTTTTTGTGTGAGCCAGAAAAATATCTTCTTTCTTTGGACAGTGTGTACAGAATATATTTCGCACTTTCCCCCCACTTTACCTGCATACAGAACAGGAACATCAATTCACAGAGCTTCCAAAGGCCAATCAGGTAATTCACTTTCCCTTCCCCATCCAAAAATCAATGCTACTTGTTACCTTCATTATATGCCACTCTCATTCTCAAACATGTTTCTTGCAGACAGCACTTCTGAATGTGCACATACTGCTACAGTTCATCCTTCTGAAAGACAGATCATCTGCAGTATTTTCTGACAGATGTATCAGACACAGGACTTAGTGTTGGACGTATTCCCATCCCTATCCCTATCCCCTCAATAAAAGCTAGCCCACACACAGATTTGCAAATGCCAATTTCTGGAGAATTGTGCTTTTTCTTTGTTTAAAAAAACATGGAAATAATCTCCAGTATTGAAAATGTTTACTGTCTTGAAATGTCTTCATTAATCTAATGCATGCATTCCTCATCTACAATCAAATCTTTCTATGATGCTGTTTAGAAAAAGAATTGCATTTTGGGTTCTTGTGGTTTTGCTGTTTCCTTTTCTTTTTCAAAGCATTATCTTCTATAATCTTTTACATCAAGCTAATACTGAAAACTCTGCCTTCAATTTTAAGATTTGTGGAATGGTGCATAAACTACTCAGTTTACAGTGTGATGTTATATGAACCTGGAACCGAAGGCAGAGAAACAGGCCACAAAAACATTGTTAGGTGTTGATCACAGAAACAGAAAGGAGCCAGAGTTCCTCAAATCTACTCATATATTAGGTGCTGTCTATTTACACATAACCTAAATGACAGCATCACTGTGATTGAATAGAAAGGATTTGGCAGAACACTCTCTTTCTCGTTCACATCTTAAACATTTTCCATGCTGGGCACACTCAAATACAAACAGTTATTTAAAAAAAAAAAAAAAACGGAATCCTAGAAGAATATTGAAAGAAATGTGGAATAAGCACTTAAGTGTTCATGACAGAAAATATTACTTTTCTGGGAAAAGAGAAGAGTCTTGTAGTTTGGGTCCTGCTAGTTCCTCATGATGTCACTTTCTTTTTCAATGCAGAGAGCTCTTTGTGAATCTCGCTGAATTTTGGTCTCATTTCAGGATTATAATCCCAACACCGCTGCATTATTTTATAAATTTCCTCTGGGCACTTCTGAGGCGCTGACATTCGATAGCCTAACATATATTGAGAGAGAGAGAGAGAGAGAGAGAGAGAGAGAGAGAGGGAGAGAGAGAGGGAGAGAGAGAGGGAGAGAGAGAGAGAGAAGTGACTATTGGAAATGTCACTGAGCTTTTAAAAAGAGAGTAAAATGGCTACAATTAAAACTCCAAACAATTTATTCCTGTAGAATTAAAGTGTTAGGTTTGAATACATTAAAGATAGTCCACATTGTACTGAGCTGCAAGACTGAAAACTGAACAGCACAAGACTGTTGCAAGTGGAGTGGAGAAAAAATATCACACGTGTCAGGGTGTCAGCCATCCCACATCAGAAGGTCAGGCCTACAATCTGTGCAAAATATTGGCTCCAAGTTTTCCTCTTCTTTACTCTTTCAAGCACAACATTATATGACATTAATCAATAAAATCAATGTTTACTAGGATTGGGATGAAACAAACACAATCTGTCCTTGTAGCATCGCACACTTCCTCTCATGCTTGGCTCAGTCTTGGGAAGGGAGCTGAGTGGTGAGGAAGTCTGTGAATGCCTGCAGAACAAAGGATGTGCAACTGACAACCTTCCCTGTTTCAGGTGCAGCAGTGCCACTGGGAGGCTGCTTGCGCAGCAGTGGCGTGGGCTCCATTCCTGGCCAGCGCACATAAACAATCTGCTTCCATGGCAAGTGCAGCCACACTGGCAAAGGCTGCTGCCAGGTGGCACTGATGAGGGATGCAGCTTGATTCCAGGTGAGTTCCCCATGGATGCTGGGCATGCTCGCCATGAACTTGGACTCAGGGCTGCTGCAGAACAGGCCAGGGTCTGGGGAGTGGGTCCCATGGAATCCAATGGATTCCCACCCCCAAAACAGATTCCTCATGCATTCCTAACATTTAGCTTAGTGTTATCTGTGGTTTTGTTAATTTTATTGCCTCTTGACATAGGTTTTCTGCTTCTGATTGATTTGTGTCCTGCCTTTCTACCAAAATATGGTGCTCATAGGAACACAGAAAGCTATTTTATACCAAGTCAGACTACTAGGTCAATCTAACCCAGTATTATCAATGCTGACTGGCAGTGCTTTTGGTAGGATTCTTTCCTAAGTGCAACCGGAGATGCCAGTGACCAAACCTGGGAATTTCTGCATGCAAATCAGGTGCACTACCACTGAGCTATGCCCCTCAAAGTAATTTGCATTTATAGGACCAAGATCAAAAAAAAGACTTAAAACAATCATAAAAACAATTATATTAAAATTCCAGTTAAAACAAAAATAAAAGAAATAAAGAGTACCCAATACATATTAAAAGCACACAGCGTTCAGCAACAAACGAGCATACATGCCAAAGGCCTGAATAAGCCTGATTAGGAACATGTTTGCCTTCCAACAGAGGGAAACAGAGGGACTAAACCAAGCCTCCCTTCAGAGGGAGTTCTGGAGAAGGCCCTTGCTCCCATTCCCACCAAAAGTGCCCTCGATGGTAACAGGACTGAGAAAAGAGCCTTCCCAGAAGATCGTAAAATCTGGGCAGGCTCTGACGAGTGAATGCAATCCTTCAAAGAACTTCAGGTTGGATTCAAACTTAGCCACAAGTACACCTACTGGTTTCAGTGGATGTACGCTGCATGACTAAGAATGGATCCAAGCGCTTATCTTTAGTTGCAAGTGCTTGCCTTTCCCTTGAGAATTTAGTCTGAAGTTTTACTGATTTCATTTGAATTTATGTCCGAGGTAATTATATTTTTGATTGTAGTCTTAATCATATTTCCATCTTCCTGATGTTTCCTTATTTTTCCTGGTCTTTGTCTCTGTCTTCTTTGACCTTTTTAATCAGGTTTTGCTCTCCTTCCCAATTTCATTCTGAATTCATATGTCTATTTTTACACATACCAAATTGTTTTCTTTGCTCAATCAGGTTAAAGCATTTTCTCCCTGCTGCTCAAACATGAAAAATCATTCTAGGAGGCAGAGGCCAAGTCAATGGTTACTGTAAAACTAACTATGAAAGATGAGCCTCTAGGGCTTGGCAGGAAAAGACAGCATATACTATAATCTTAAAGATGGGAAATCTCTTTAAAACGAATAGCCAGATTGTTGAAGATTGCTATGTAGATTTTCAGACACGGCCGCGCAACACCCCAGCGTGTTCCACTCTGACACAATCTACAATACCTTAATAATGCCAAGGAATATTAATTATATGAAATAAGGAAGGCACAGCCAGATTCTGAGTTAAGACCTCCTTTGCTAAGTATTTTTTCACCCTATTTTAAAGCAATTTCCCAATTTCTTTTCTTTCTCTCATGCACATCACAATATATCCTACAGCTACAGAAAGCTTTCAATAGGTTGCCATTAGCTTAATCACAGAGCATTTGGTTCAGATTTTCTGTGCATCTTGAACCCCATTCACACATTCTGCTAGAGTCATGATTGTGAGATCCCAGGTCACTGTAATGGAAATGCCATACTTGCATTAATATAAAAATGAATAGGGTCAACTAAATGGGTCTTTCCTATCTGTTTAGGTGGAGTGGCCCTTGTTCAGCCAATCATATGAGCAAATGGGGCATCTAATTTTCCACGGTGTCTTAATTACTCTTCTCTCAATGTTTCATCCTGACCTACAAAATGTGTGAATGTTGTAGGGCTTGCTAGATGTTGCATCTTATCGATGCTACTAGCAGCTCTTTCTTTTGGCTTTTATTTAAAAGTATTAAAGATGAAGTCTATGTATATAGAACAAATAGTCTTCTTGACACCTTAACAACTGACAGATTTATTGCACCATACACTTTTATGGGCCAGAACCTACTTCAAACAACCTTGTTAAAGCAAGTTTATGGATAGCTCTCAGTTATAAGACTTTTCATGATAATTTGGTTCTCTGAAACAGAAAGCAAATACCAAAATAGTGCAATTAATACAGATATCTGTTATGTCATTTCAAAAATGCTGTTTGTCATGATTACTGACTTCCTGTTTAGGAACTTTGTAGTTAAAAGACTGTTGTTTCTTTAGGCTGGAGGTATTTCCTTGGTCTGGTACATCAGAATCAAACAAAACATGAGGCAAAGAATTACTGGTCTTCAAATATTTGTCACAAACAGACATGCATAAAGCAACTACCTTTATCCACTTGCTCCCGTGCTTGCTGGTTGGTCATTCCTGGGTATGGACATACACCTAAACTGAAGGTCTCCCAGAGGAAGATTCCATAACTCCACACGTCACTTTCAGAAGTGTATCGACCTACCAATGAAAATGGAAAGTGAGTGTCCAGGCAATAATGTGATAATTCTGACAATATATACATGAAGCTGTGCTAAGTGTCCAGATGCTTAAACCTCACTCCCTCCAGTTACCCCAGAAGGAAGGCTCAGAAGTAGAGGACAGTGGTAGCCTCACACATGCACCCTCAACCCTGGAAGACAATGACTTCCAATGAGCACAGTGGCAGACAGACAAGGCACCCAATACGGATTCCTACTGGAACTGCTGCAGTGCCTAGGGCAGCCTTCCCCAACCTTGTGCCTTCCACACACATTTGGACTACAACACCCAGAATTCCCAGTCAGTGGCCTTGCTGGATAGGCATTCTGGGAGTTGTGGTCCAAATGTCTCTGAAGGCCACCAGGTTGGGGAAGGCTGGCCTAGAGGAGGTCATGATATGAAGAGATGGCACACATGGCACTTTGGGAACACTGTAAAAAACCAGCATAGATAGAAAGACAAGTTGCTTACCTGTAACTGTGGTTCCTAGAATGGTCATTTGTACATTCATACAAATGGGGTGTTGTGCCTGCGCAGAGCCTATTGTTGGGAAGTTTCTATAGCTAAGTATTCATTTTGGCTGGAAGCCCCTCCCCTTCCTGTTTCCAGGACGTGTGAGGAGTGGCTCTCACCCCATTCCCTCATTTCCTTTTTGACCACGGTTGTGCCTAGATTGGGAATCACTTCGCTCTTCTCTGCCTTAGGTAGTCCACATTCTGTCTTCCCATCCTGAGTTGCTTGTGATTGTCCTACCTTTATCTCTACACCTTTCCAGCCTTCTTTACTATCCTTGCTATGGCATTTGCCACAGCTTTCAGGAGATGTGCCTCCTGTAATAGTAAGTCTCCCCCATTCAAGAGACACTCCCTTTGCCTTATCTGCCTGGGCAGGGGTCATGTTGTGGAAACCTGTGCACATTGCCAGGCCTTTGCAAATCAATCAAGAAAACATTTGGCTGATTGGCTTAAGGCTGAGTTATGGAAGAAGGCCCTGCATGTAGCAGAGTTCTCGAAAGAAGGCTGGATGATCCTTCCACTTCTGAGGGCCGCCAAGCAGTGTAGAAGACAAAGAAATGCCTGAAAAAGATGACCGCTGCCATGTTGAAGAACAAGAAAAGGCACATGTGAGCCCCTCTCGACTGGCAACCCTGGCCATCAGGTCCCTGATGCCCTCCAACTGCTCTTGCTCACCAGAACTGATAAAGGCTCTCACTGCCACACCAGAAGGAAAATCAGGAGGCCAGTCCACCATGCCAATGGACCACTATTCCCCCGGTTCTCTGTTCCAAGAGGATCATGCTCCTGAGAACCAACTCTGGTACCTGACTTGCCACTCAGGTGCTCCACCGGCATCACCATGAGGCCAACGATGCCACATCTAGCACTATGGCAGTAACACAAACTAGTGTGACTGTTCTTCTTAGGAAATCTATTGTACCAGCTTATGCTATTGGTATAGCACTAGAGGATGCATATGCTAGTGCTATGTCAAGTATGCAAGCATAGTGGCAGCAATGGATACTGCCCATTTATTTTAAAGATCTGCACATACTAAAACATGAAAACATGAACATAGCAGTAGTTCATAACAGAGAATGTTGTATGGTAATTAGAAGCATCTTAGCTCCTGCAAACAGCAATAGTATTTTCTGATAATACACCTATAGCCATAGCTTTACTGAAATTCAAAGTTCCCTGAAGTCTAAATCCAAATATATACATTAATTGGAAGAAATGTTTATACCAGCTTTAATTTTATGAGATTAATATGAAGTATTAACAAATGTGTACAACATGCTAACTTTATTGCTCTTGCTCTTCAAAACATTAACACTGAATATTATTAGAAACATGCTTATACAAAATAAATAATATTCAAATCCTGGATATGGGGTTTATTCTTACAAACTTCATTTGCTTAAAAAAGCTTTCATGAATTTAAGAACTGATAGCTTTCTGCTATTTCCACCCTCAGTCATCTCAGCTCTATCTTCAGAGAAGAAGAAACATGAAAAGCTTGAAGGAGTATAAGCTCTTTTTATTCTTCTTGTCTAAATCCCATTCCAAAATGTGAAGTTTATGTATTCTAGCCAAATTACCCTTTCTTCACCTAACACTACAGAGTGGTAGATAAAGTCTACAGTGGAACTAAAGTTGGCATTGTTGATGATTTCAAACAACTTCTTAATGTTGTAAAACAGAGTACCACACTATAATATCTTTGAAATAACAGTACTGGTAAAAGACTAGTTCTTGGCTCAGTGTGTTTAGGGTGCAATCCTATATCCACTTAGCCGGGCTCTCCTGTACTCAATAGGAAATAGTTTTGAGTGTGTGTGTGTGTGTGTGTGTGTGTGTGTATGACTCCCTGTGGATTTTACTCCTCTTAGCCAGTGGCTAATAGGGAGCGGTGGCCCGCATGACCTCACATAGCACTGTTACCTTCCTACCGGGGTGGTACCTATTTATCTACCTGCATTATATGCTTTCGAACTGCTAGGTTGGCTAGAAGCTAGGGGCGAACGACAGGAGATCACTCCATCTGGCAAAGGCTGGGCTCAAACTGCTGGAGTGCTAACCATTTCTGGCCAACAGTTCCAGCATCATTAAGCCTCTGTGCCACTGTTTCCCTATGGATTACATTGTTAAATTATTTACTACATACAAGGTATGTCCCTTTGCTTAGTGGCTATGAACTTTAGGGAGCAGAGCAGAGCAAATGAATTTATAGCAATTCAGTGATAAATCTACCAGACTCAATGAAGATACATTTCTTTCTCACTCCACGTTTTAATGTTCTGTGGACTCCATTTTCAGAAGAGGCCTTTGTTGATAATTTTGAAGCTCTGAAGAAGTACTCATATGCATATCTCCCAAACTACAGAGCATCAGCAATCCCCATATATTGGGTAGCAGACATTATTTAGATGTAATAACATGCATAGGTTTAGGGACACTTCTCAGGAATTTATCTAATTTATTCTCAATTTGGTATCTCCTCAGAACCAGATGGCATTGCATTGATTATAGAATGAAGATTCATTTTTGTTGCATTTTCCAAGCCAAGAGAACAATCACTATATTCTTTGGCAGATGTTGAAACCAGCTGCACAATATACCTCTTTATATAGACCTTTCTTGATTTTCTATACACCTCCTCCTGATTTTCCACAGAACGCTCCCAGGATAGTACTGGGTTTTTCCTTTTCTTCCTCAGCAGACATAGCTTCAGGTGCCAGTCACTTCAGGTGCCAGAAAGCGGATCAGTGACAGCTGCAGCACCCAAGAAAGTGGAGCAGAAAAGGCAGGTAGGTGTATCCAGTTAGCCCATCCCACTGCTGAAAGAGCTTCTATCAGTCCCCTGAATCCACAGAAGCAGATTTCAGAGTTGTGAGGACTGAAGGATGGATGAGAGGAGTGAAGAGTCATTTTCTGAAAGTGGAACCTCACTCATATGAAGTTGGATTTCACCCAAGCGTTTCCATCAGGAATACGTCAATCTTACATTTTCCTGCTCCTTAGGCAACAGATATGTGTTGAGTCAACAAAGATTGCTTAAATGTTTTGGTTGTGGTTGTTGTCATTGATATTTTTAGTTATCTTGAAATGGCAAGTTCCCTTTCCTCCACCCTGGAAATCTTATCTCTTTTGCTCACTCAGTATCTGTAAGAACTTCACAAACAGACTTGGATTGATAGAACAGTGATAACATGTGCATTCAGCAGGATTTCTGAACCTTTCAAATGGGACAAGAGTAAACACTAAAGAGTTTTTAGAATGTAGAAGTCTTAAATGGGCTGCATTCAATTTAGGTTGAGGAAGCTCAAATGTGCTCATAAACAGGAATTTCTTAAAAAGTCGATCTCCTTCACCCATATTCCTAGCACTGTTTGCTCATGTTACATTGATGTTTCTAATTGCTAAATATTTAGCAGATCCATTTATACATGTTATTCATTAGCAGCCTAACTGCAATACATGCAAATGATATTGACATTCAGGGTTGTGCTAACTGTTCTAACCTCTCAAAGTTCTGTATGCACTTAAAACGAAGTATCTTTTCATGCTGCTTTAAATTAGGCTGCCTGGTTGGTAGAGAGCAATTATGGACATTCACTGTGCTGCTGGTAGCATGATTACTTTGGTAAGTCTGTATATCTTCTCCTTTCAGTGCTTGGCATCCAGTAATTTAACACCTTTCATTAAAAACATTCAGGAATGCCAGTTAAAAGCAATTCATTTCTAAGAAAGTATAAGTTATGCAGAGTCAATTACCTTTCTCAGTATAATACCTGGACACCCCCCAAAGCATGCTGATAATAAAAAATGTGTGGAATGTATTGGTGACAGAGAAAATTGAAAAAGTTAGGCTGAAACCATGAGACTGTAATAAACAAAGTTGGTTTTATTAAGACCACATATGCAGCTATGAAGTGCAGAAACACTGCAGTTTGAACCAGGGATATAATTTTATTTTGAACACCTCAGAAGTAGTTCTTTGGAAATGTTGTATGTAATTTTGCAGCTATACAGTTCCCAAATAAAATATGCATTTCAGTGTCAATCACTGCATGGAACATTATGAACTGCTTCATACAGTACAGTTTTATTGTGCATTATTCCCAAGATTCCTTTATGAATAAAAACATCAAAATGGAAGAATACTACATACAGGCTTGACTTGCAAAGGGTACATATTTAAATTGTCTGTGCATTCAGCATTATGGGGGAACAACTTGTAGGTGTATAGTTATGAAAGCTGTAATGTAGAAAAATAGGTCTGAAGCAGACATATGTTCCTTAGACTTCTAAGCCATGTTATAAAAAAAGGATTGTCCAGTGAGTTTATTACTCTACTGTTGACCTTCTCTTCCCCTACCAAAGTTAACCAGTTTCAAAACCTTTCAAAGTCTGCCTTAAAGCAACGTATGATTTAACACTTAGTTCAATGTAACTATAGCTACTGATGTCATATATAATTGAACAGAGGTACTTGTAGAAGAGAGCACCACTTAGCTCTCTTTTAAATATATTTGCATCGAATGGGGCCTCACACTCAGCTTAGCCAGCCTGGGGAAAGCATTTTACAGCCAGGACATCACAACTGAAAAGGCGCCATGCATGAGTCCAGGACTCAGTTCACCTGCAAAGGCCTGGAGCATGCCAAAAGGCCTGGGAGGCAGGATTTTGTGGCGAAGGACATCCAATAAAAGCCACTAGTCTCTGAGCTTTAACCATTCTAACTCTAAGCATCATTTGACTATTTGATAATTCTTCGGAAAGAGGAACATGCTGATGTCAAATAATATGTTTGGACAGGAACTGTTAACTAACAATGTTCTTTCCTTACCATAGTTCAAAGCCTCTGGAGCAGTCCATTTGATGGGAATCTGCTTTAATCCAGAAGAGGAATATACGCCATCATCTTCTTGACGAGACATTCCAAAGTCGCTAATTTTCAGAACATTATTTTCACCTACTAGGCAGTTCCTTGCAGCAAGATCCCTGCACAGTGAAAAGATGCAGCACTTACACCAGTACAACAGAACTATGTTTATATTTTCAAAAGCGCAATGTGTTTGGGCAGAAAGAAGTTCCTCTGTTTCAGGGAAAAAGATCTTCCACCATAGGAAATACAACATACACGGTGCACAATGGTTCCTGGAAAAAGAAACACTGTTACTAAAGTAGTAGAAGAAATAAATGCAAGCAAGCAACAGTCCTGTGACCATGCTGCCCTTGAGGATTGTTTCCAGAACACTGCAGAGCAGTAAATCAGATTTAGCGTGGGGAAAGAGCTCAGCTTGAAGACAAAGCCTTGTTCTCGCAGCTGCCAAATGCAGTTGAGGGAGATTTCATACATGATTTAAACGGATACCCCCTTGCCCCCCACTGATTGCCAGTGAGACCACAGTATGTGCACTTTAAAAACTGCACCCATTGCCTTTTAATCAGGGGGATTACAATTTATGTAATCTCTTACAGTCAGCCATGCTGGATGCAACTGATGGGAGTTGTAGTCTACACAATCTGGATGCCACCAGGTTGTCTATTCCTATTACAAGCAGCACACCAAATATTTAACATAATCTTGGTTCATCAAATAGTAATTGTTCCCTCTCTCAGGTTCAGTAAATAATGCATCAGGTATTCAGCAGTAAGATTTATTTATAACCTGAATTCCTCTCAGATATCTGCTAGTGTACCTCTTTTTAACCTCATGACAACCCCGTGAGGTAGAAGTTAGCTAGAGAGAATGTGATTGGTTAAGGTCTCCATGTTTTGCATCATGGGTAAATGCAAATTTGAATTGTGGTCTTCCCAGTCAAGGTACACTAACCATTATACCACTGGCTTAACCACAGAATAGAGAGATGAAGAGAATATTTATTTATTTATAAAATTTGTATGCCATCCAATTACTAACGTCTCTGGATGGCTAACAGCATAAATAAATTGACGACCCACTCTGACTGTAATTAATAAAATACATAGAATATACCTCCTAGCACCAAATGAATGCCATCTAGTCATCAGTGAAGCCAGCTGGAGCCGGGGGTCAGACTAGATGGCCCGGGAGACCCCCTCTGACTCACTCTGTTTCTATGTTCTATGAATAATTAATAAAGGATGGAATGTCTTCTTGGTTACATGTCATGGGTATACATTTATTATTATGACATTACATTTTGACCCCAGCTTCCTTCCTCTTAGAAGGAACCCAAGGCAGCTTACATGGTTCCCCTCCTCTACTTTTCGTCCTCACAACAACATCCCCCTGTGGTAGGTTAGGCTGAAAGTCTGCGAGTGGCTCAGACTCACCCAGTGAGCATCGTGGCTAAGTGAGGACTAGAAAGCAGATATCCCAAGTCTCAGACCAACACTCTAGCTGCTACAACATACCGGCTCCCAAAGGCACTCAAGGACAGGAAATCAGTGCCTTCAATAATGAGCAAGATATTGATTTCCATGCTCAGGTTGCAATTCTACACCTTGTTAATCACACATGAGTGGCATTCACCTTCTTCCAAAAGCTCTGGATGCTGTACGTATTTCTTCTCCCATTATATTATCACAACCCAAGATCACCCAGTGACATTCATGACAAGCAGGGATTTAACTTCCAATTAATATTTTTATTTTGCTATGTGCATTTTCTCATCTAAAAAGTTTCCATATGACCCAATTAGAGTAATGGATTAGGATAAATGCCATACTTTACATAAGAGCTGTATTTTTAGTGGCAGCATTTTTAAAAAATCCACGACATTTTCTGTGAAAAATGTATCTAGAAATGATAGCTGTAAAATCTGAATCTTCCATCATCTCTACATGATCTCTGCTAATAAGCTGGACATTTACCAAGATTTGTTCTATTATATTTTTTTCTCCCAACACTAATGCCTGAACCAGAAGGCTAAAACTCAAACATTTTAAACACCTGCTCATTCTCATTTCACTCTTTTTCTTATTCAGTGGGGCCAAAATTGCTACTGGCTTGCTGAAATCCAGAATGTCATGTTTGATACAGATGACTAAGACCAAAACCCTTTGAAGCAATTTCAGATATGCACCCCAGTCTTTTGTTCCAATAAATAAAAACATTTAAAAATCTCTTTCCCTGTCTACTGAGAAATAATACAAGATTAGCATATCAGAAACAAACTTAAAAACCAAAGTGCCATCAGCTGTCAAAAAGAGCAAGAGAAAGGCCAGGTTCTCATATCCACTGTGGCTTGCTTAAGCTGTGTTTTTTCCTGGTGTTGTCTAATTTCTTCTGTTATCTGAATCTAGGTGGCATGGCTTGTTTGGGGGCAAAATAAACCTGTTGTTGGGTTACATGGGTTGAGGGTTTTTATCTTCTAAAATGGTTAATGCTGCTTAGGTTAGGACAAGAAAAGTTGTGCCTGGGTATATAATTAGAAAAATGGTCTTGGCATGCATGGTCACACACCACGGTCATGCACCATGGTCTAAACAAGCCAGCATGGCTTCTTTAGTGATCCTGTGAACTGTCTTAATAAGTCCTAAGAGTGATAAGAATCCCACCCACCCACAAAATTAACCTGACACCTTCAGCCAGTGTGGTGTAGTGCTTAAGAGTGTGGGACTGGGTTCTAGTCCTGCTCAGCCATGTAGTCAGCTGGGTGACTTTGGGCCAGTCACAGCCTCTCAGCCCAACCTACCTCACAGGGTGTTGTTATGGGGATAAGATTGAGAGGAGGAGGAGAATTCTGTTAACCACTTTGAATTCTTTAAAAAAAGAAAAAGGCAGGATATAAATCTAATACGTAACAATGAAATAAATTTAAGAATACTGCATTGACCAGTCAATTCTTTTTTGTTGTGCCAAATAAGGGCACCAAAAGAGAAAAGGGATTCTCCAATGGCATTCAGAAAAGGGCCTCATAAGAAAATCTTACAACAGCTTAAATACATCTAAAGAATCATTTTGGGAAAATTAAAAGGCCCTCACCTGATGTCAAAATGACAGAAAATTCTAAACTATTGTGCCCTAGAACAGTTGGTCATGGAACTGACCAGAGGGGAGGTGACCCTGGACTTAATCGTAAGTGATACTCCCTAGTGTAGTACAAGAAACAAATGTTGTTGAAACTGGGAATGGTGACCACAGTGCTATCGGTTTTAATACATATTTATGTAGAAAAATTGCCAAGAAAGTCTAACATGGTCACATTTGACTTGCTAAAGGACATTATTCTAATATGGGAAAGCTCAAAAACAACCAACCAACCCAAAGTAACCTAAACCAACCTAAAAAGTAGGGGATGGGCAAAAAGATTAAATCCCTTCAAAATGCTTGGAAGTTGCTCAAAACCACAATGACAGAAGCTCAGTTAGAATATATACCACAGGTTAGGAAAGACAGCACAAAGTCCAAGAGACAATCATCATGGCTAACAAGCTATTAGGGAAAAGAAGGCTTCCTATAGAAATAAAAACAAACAAAATGGAGCACAAGGTTCCGAAAGGGGGATGAAAGCAGACAGTAAGAGATTTTTAAAAACCCACTTTCAGGAGCATATCACTAAAAAAAATCAAAGTCAACAATGAAGAATTATTTAAGTCAGGAAACTAGGTAGGGAGGCAGCTGGATACTTGGGAGTTCAAGGAGTACTAGAGGAGGAGAAAGAAACTGTGGAGAAGTTACGGTTTCTTTGCAGCTGTCTTCCTTCAGAAGACATAAGATAGGTACCTGTGCCTTAACTGATGTATGCAGGAAGGAAGTCTGAGGAGCAGAGGCAGAAGATACAGTTCTTAATCTTACTGAAATAGTCACCAGCTCCAGGTGGTATGCATCTTAAGAGTTCTTGAAGTACTCAAATATGAAATTACTGATCACCCTGACAAAAATCAGCAACATGTTCCTTAGATCAGCCTCTGAACCAAAAGGCTGGCAAATGGCCAATGTAACACCAATTTCTTAAAAGGGTACCAGGAAATGACAGACTGATTAGCTTAATGTCTATTCCGGGTAAATTGGCTGAAAAAATGATTGAAGATAAAATTAGTAAGCATATAGGAAGACAACCTGTACTGAGGAAGAACCATGGCTTCTTAAAAGTGTATTTGAGAGTGTTAATAAACATGTGGACAGGGCTAACCCACCAGACATTGTGAAAAGCCTTTTAGAAATCTAAGTCCCTCATCAAAGACTCCTGAGCAAAACTTAGTAATCCTGGACTAAGAAGCAATGGCCTAGTTAAAGAACAGAAAGTAGACAGTATGGATAAATGGTAAACTCACTTGGTGGAGGGATGTAAACAATGGTGCCCATGAGGGGGTCTGTATTTTGACCAACTGTTTTTAATTTATTCCTAAATAACCTTGAATTAGGAGTGAGCAGTGAAGTGGTCAAGCTGCTAATGACACCAAGTTATTTAGGGTGGTTAAATCCAAAAGACTCTCTCCAAATGATGAGAATGTGCATCAACTTGATAAATGTGCTTCAGTGTAAGCAAGGAGAAAGTGATTTATGTCAGGACAAAAGTTTCTGGCTTCAAGTACAATCTGATGAGATTTCAGAAATAACTGACCAAGACAAAGATTTTGGGACAGCTCAGTGAAAATGGTGAGTATAATTAGGAAAGAAAATGAAAATAAAACTGCCATGATAATACTCTCCTTCTTTGGATCTCTGGTGTGACCACACTTAAGAGTATTGCAAAGAGTTCTAGTCATAACACCCCCCAAAAGATATTGCAGAAAAGGTCAATTAAAATGATCAAGGGCTGCACAAACTTCTCTTAGAGGAAAGGTTACCTGGGATTGTTTAGCTTAGAAAAAGGGTGAGTAGCAATGACATAACAGAGATGTACAGAATTATGCATGGTAAGGAGAAAGTGGATACAGAGGTTTTTGTCTCCCCCTCGCATAACACCAGAACCTAGGTGCATTCCATGAAGCTGATTACCACTAATTTAGATAGCTTCAAAAGGGGATTTGGTGTGGCCAAGCAGCACAACCTCTTAGGTGATCTGCAC